CGATTGTATCTTTCCTCACCCCATGCAAGTTGGCAAAGCCAAGTCTTCCATTCCCTCTGAAAAATTGGGAGGGTCGGGGCCCGCCTCACCAGTCACACGCTTCCTTTTTGGGCTAACCATTGTTATGCAAAGTGCAGAAGAGAAGAAATAATAAGCCAAAGAAATTAAAAACACAAAACAAAAAAGAAAAAACTTTATCCTAACAGTATATTCCTTTATAATAATACATCTTTCCATACCTTTCTGTCCTTGCAAACTATTCTTGCTTTCACTATGTCCACCCACTGCTTCAAACAATTGCTTTTTTGTTCCTAAGGTTTTCATCTCTTTTTTTCTGAGAATTTCATCAATTCCACCCAACCATGACTTTCTGGGTTTTCTCCATTTCCCCATATATTTGTTTTTCAGTTCAATCTTCATTATTTCCTCTGCATGATCAAACCTTCTCAAAGTACTTCTTTCATACTGATCACTCAGTTTTGTATTCAAGCCACAGTAATTCAACACCGTTTCATTCTCTCTCTTCTTGTTTTATCACACACTTCAAGTATTCTATTTCCACTGCATACAATTCACCTTTATGTTTGTCCTGACATACTCAACTCTCACTACCATATAATGAAGTGAACAGAAGCTCTTATATCCAGCCATTTTTGCTTCTTTAAACAAACATTTCTTCCTTGCAATGAACCATATGCTTCCCACCACTTTTCTACCAGCATGGCTTAGAGTTTCTCTATTTTCCCATAATTAGTAAACATTCTACCAAGGTACACAATTTGATCATCTTACTCTACTTTCTCACCCTTTATGTATAATTTGCAGTTGTTCATTCCATTTTCCCTGTCAGACACAACTGCCTTCACCTTTGATATATTAATTTTCTGATCTGTATTTCTTGTTGCACAATACAGTCTAACATATGCAGCTAATAATTCAGGTTCTCAGCCAACAACTCAGCATTATTTGCATATAAAAGTACTTGTGTATTCATATTCCCAACCAACACACTTCTGTCTTTACCTCAAGCAATCCTTATACATGCACTCACTAAACTTTCTATTTACTCTCATACATGCTTTACTTCCATCATATATGTATCTTATTACATTCAGAAACCTTGCTTCAACTCCCTGCTTTTCAAAATATTCCCTAATTCAAGCCTGTACACTCTATCTAAACAAATGAATCATGAACTTTCTCACCTTTGTACATTTCTCAGTAACTTGCTGAAGAGCAAACATTTGGCCTGCACATCCGTTGCCAGGCATACATCCACATTGCACTTCCCAAATTTTGCTCATTGTCACCTCTCATACCCTTAATCAGAATTCTACCAAACACCTTCCCAGACATACTTAACAAAGGGGTACAATAATAACAGCAATCTTCCAATGGTCAGGGCAGATGTAGTGTTCACATGCACAGTAAACAAGCTGTACAATTCCATAAGCACACCACATCCATATTTTAACGGAGTTCCAGATACACTATACTGCAGCATTATCATTTTTCAATAGATCTTTTCACTGGTTTTCCTCAGACACTAACTTGTAGCATTCATTTCAGTTCCATTTCATTCCCAACAAATCTCTAAAATACTCCTTACAGCCTTCCCCCACTTCAGTTTTATCCCAAATAATTTTCTCACTTTTATTTCTAATTCCATTCACTCTTCTGGGGGCACCTTGTTTAGCCTTCTTCACCCTTTTCCAGTATATATTTTTTTAATTTCCATTAAATAATTCTGCATTTCCTCTACTTCTTTTCATGTTAACTGTTCCTCACTCTCTTTGACTACATTCTTTGAAACTATTGTTTTCTCTCTGTATATAATACATGATGTTTCTTATCCTTTTCTTTTTCAGCAGCAGCCGCAATAATTCTATGCATTTTTCTCATCTACTGCTTCTTTCACATCATTGTTCCATCAAGTATCCTTTACCATATTTCCCATTGGTTTAACTCCACATGCTTCAGTGGCACACTGGAACATAATTCTTTTCCCAAAAACTTCCACATTTTCTTTCCTTACATCCATTTTCCATTCACTTTGTGGATGAGTAATCTCTTTTCTAATAGTTTTTCATACAGGACTCATATTTTCTCTTCCTGTAGTTTTAATTTCACTCCTGTTTATTTCATTTCATTTCATTTCTTTTCTTTCCTTTTCTTTCACATCCATTTTTTTCCAAAGATCCCCTCCTGACACTATCAAAAAATGGTCTGTCCCATTTTCAGAGGCCTCATCACCCTTGAATCCTTCACTAATCTCTCACTCTTCCCTCATAAACAAAATGTGCTGTTACATTATATTCATTTCTTTGTCATGTATATGTCTAAGTAGACATGCGCAAACCACATATTCAAAATAAACTTTTTTTGAACCAGATACTCACCAAACAGTCACCATTTTCATTCATTCTTGGTGTCCAGGTAGTATGATCTCTTTTTCTCATCTTGTTCCAGGCCATCTACTCATGTCACCTAATGAAAAAATTCTTTTCTCTGGATTGCATTCATTCA